TCTCGATAAAACTTTAACCTTTTTCATACATCAGTCAAGCGAGTGAAAGAAGAATAGTGTATAAAAATTAAGTATTACTATAAATGTTTACACATGTTTACCTGTTGTTGGTTGGCAGCGTAATTTTGGGATCCGATCTGGAATTTGGATAGATCGATATTCTATGGAGGTACGAGTGTCATAATCACACGAGTGTGGAATAGATTTTATGCACAAGTGGCACACTATACTTTTTCGACGACCACAATTACTAAAACCCAAATTTATTTTTTTTTAATAATTTGATGAACTTTATTAACGATTTAAAATTAGAAATATTAAGAGGTGGTAAATATGTATTATTGTTAAATTTGTAACATATTTGCTTTTCTTTAATATAAATTTAATTTAAATTTTAAAATGTATAATTTATTCACTTATTTTTTTTTGTTATATACACCTTACATTAGGAATTTGTAGAGTAGCAGATTTAAAAGGTTTCGATAGCTCCCCAAAATAAGCCATTAAAATGTTTTCTGAAAAGGAGTTCACCTTATTTTGTTGGTACTAATCCATAAATCGTGAATAAGATAACTTTTATTTTTTTCGCAGATGTTTGAGGCAATAAGTCTTCTGTAATGTTATTCGCTATTTCTTTAATATGTGATGGAGTATTATTATCACTACTATTACTTGCACTGTCCATTTTATTATTCGTAATTTTCAAAAATATCGAAATAAATTAAATGTCAAGATTTGAAATGTCCAAATTTTAAATCGGTTAACTTGATTTAATTTTTTTTTTGTATTCTCTTTTATATATAGGCAACCAACATTACAGATGTTATAAATCATTTTACGTTTTTTTTTTCTAAATTAACTAAAATGTTTAGTATTTGGATGAATTATTTAGTTAAATAGGTATTTACTTAAAATATATTATTGCTTTTTCATTTGTACTAAAGAATATACGACAATTTATTCGATGCACAAAATAGTGTGGAATTACCTTGTGAAATAATATTTCCACACTATACTCGGACAAAATATTGAAGATGGTGATTCCTTCCTGTTCACGTACAACAATCATACTATACCAGAGCATAATGAATGGAATCACGCGCTTAAAACTGCAGAAGTTATCGGAATCACGTGCCAACTAGTCATAAATACATGTTTATTGCCAAAATGAATTACGTCAGTGGCGTATAAAAACTATTAGCAAATTAAATGCGGTAATAGTAAATAATATTATATGAAAGTAGGTTGGTTATCTATTTTTGTAGTAATAATCATTTATGTTTTTAATTTTGTTTTGTTTATTGTTAAAATATGTAAATATTATGCCAGTGGCGTAGAAACACTATTGGAACATTAAATGGGGTATTATACTAGAACAAAATATTGAAGAAGGTGCGCCTTAAAACTGCAAAAGCTATCGTTGTCATATCAAAATGCACTCTTCCAGTGTCGCAGAAATACTATATTGGCAAATTAAATGGATATGTGTGAATATTACTAGATGAAAGTAGGTTGGTTATCTATTTTTGTTATAATAATTCATCTATGTTTATAATTGTATTTTGTTTATTTTAAAAATATGTAAATTAAACTTGGTATCACTTACTTGAATTCTAAATCTATGAAGTTTCGCAATCCATTGATTCTGCAGAACTATCACTGGAATCATCTTTATCGTCGGAACTTAAAGTTATGACTAAAGGTTCAACTACCGTTTCGATCATACCGTCCAAGCGCCACATATTATTTTCTTCCTTAATTACATGGGAAATAGCATTCTGCCAATCTTCAAGTTTTATACGTTCTTTATCGGTTTTTAATAAACTTTGAACGTCGGCTATTTTAAAAGTTTTATTTTCTCGAGCTACAAACCCTTTCACTTGCGCCCAAATTAGTTCAATAGGATTGAATTCGCAGTGATAATACCGTCATACCACGATCACGAGCCATTGTGTCGACAACATATTGAATATATTTATGACGGTGTTCCTTTATTAGGTCCATTAATTCCACTTTAAGCATCTCCTCAGTAAATGTTATTGCTTTATCTCGCAGCCATGTTTGCATATCCGCTTTCCTACTGGACATTATCGGAATGCGTTCAATTCGTCGACCGTGATAAGAAGCGTTATCTAGTACAATAACTGAATTTCGTTCTACACGCTGTAATACTTCAGTAAACCATTTTTCAAAGATTATATCATAAATCTTAGCGAAAATTTCGGCTGGTAAATGTGCGATCGCCAAATGAAATTTACTTTTCTCAGAATGGAATTTATGGATATAAAATTGACTTTCTATGTACTTGAACCATAGATCTGGTTGATGCGCCCAAAAACTGGCAGTTTAAATGTCTTTCATAAAAATATTATTATCAACTGAGGTTTGAGGCTCCTCAACTGGCAATGTCAGACTCTGTAGGCATTATATATGATCAAAATCGATAAAAGATACCAACAAAAACACCCCACTTACCCGAAAAAAGGTATCAACCATAAATGGAAATTGCTTTCTTGGGTGGGATCTTCAAAATGTCTTGTCTGGTGTAGCTGTCTTCTCTCCGGTATGGAATCTTCTGTCGGGTGTGGAAATTTGTCGGGTGTGTAATCTTCTGTCGGGTGTGGAATCTTGTCGGGTGTAGAATCTTCTGTCGGGGTCTTATGTTCTAGTCTTGGATGTTATTCCGGGATGCTCCAAAGGGGTTCCTTGCAGTTGAAGTGTGCTCGTTCGGGGTCACCAATTGTAGGTAGCAGGAAATCAGAATTTCAGTAAATAATTATAATTTTATTTTAAAATATAAAAAAAACATTATATGAAAAATGTTGTGTCGAGGTACGTCTTGTCTTTTTCGAAATCAGTAATCAATCAATTTTTTTGTTTTCTTTTTCCATGGTTACCATCCATCGGATAAGTAGGGTGCTAATGTACGCAGCTATCGACCAAGATCATAATATATGTGATATTATAATGGTACCATCTGACATTGACACTTGACCAACCTCAAATAAAAACTGACTAAGAAACCTTAAAATAAATTGACGTAAAAGTCAAAACTGAAGGTAAGACTATGTGGTGCTATGATGTCGCCACAGTAGTCTCCTGTTTTTTTCGATATAAACACAAGAGCGCTATTTTCCAAAAATCCACTGTCACTTCCGATATGGGTAACAATTAGCCGCTGTCCTTTACCTGATGGTGCTTTCAAACTTGTAGATAATCCCTCTATAAAAGCTTGGCGATGACTAGTTAGACTAGTTAGACTTAGATACCGTGTGTCCAGCATTCACCCACGTTTCATCGAGATAGTATATCTTTTTTTAGCGGCTCTAAACTCTTTAATATTTCGTAAATAACGCCGTCGCCAGGACACTATATCTGACCTCTCAATTAAAATTGATTTCCTACACCGTTTGACAAAACGAAATTTTAGGCCCCATAAAATTTTTCGTAAAGTTTCACGGCTCATTAATGGAATTTCTTTGTTTTCTCTTAATTTCGTAAGAACAACTTTAAGTGTTGGGGCTTTGTTTTCGAAAAAAAAAAAAAAAAAAATGTACAGTTCTTCGAATGATTTGTTTTTGGTTATCCTCCAATTTCAACAATTTTCGACCACGGGTATGCGTTTTAGGGGCTTCTAAGGAGCCTTTTTTTGTCTTTTCGCGTACAATACGTTCAATTAAAACAGATACTCCAGTTAAAAAAGAACTGCGGTTTACAACTTCATTTGTAGGAAGTGTCTGTTTCAGCCCATCATACACTTTCCATATAATGTTTCTTTCATCCTTTGATACGGGCTTTCGCCGACGTAATTGGGTTTCACTTGGACCCGCCTTTGAATCCATTACTATTGTAACAATATAATTCTACTATTAAATTGTTTTTATTAAATTTATAAAGAAACCAATATTTTACTATTTAATAAACTTTTAAAGTACCTACCTAATATACTACACAATAAATATAACTTCTCGAATATTCACTACCACTACCAAATTGTAAGGCACAAATATGAACACCTACTCGTATATCAGAAAAGAGCACTTATACAAAGGAGTGTTTATAAAATATAAAATAATTATCGTAAATAGTTAAAGCGATACAAATCTAATTTCGTCGAAAGTTAGTTTTCAACTGTCTTTGTGCCTGTGCTGACAATATTCAATCTGTAACCCGTCTGTCGTTTATTTATCTGAAACACATTTTAAAACCATTAAACACAGATAACGAAGTCATTAAGGAATAAATATATTCATTTCTTGAAAACTATCAAAAACGTATATTTAACGCATTATCTTTGTTTAAATAAAGATGTTGACAAACAAATTTAATAAAGTTTGTTAACAAATACCTAATAAATAATAAATAATTATTTGGTATTTGATACGAAGCATATGCTCTGTCGGAATTTTCATTCATAGACAACAGTGTTGATCATGCATATGACTCACCTTCTCCAATATTTTGTCCGAGTATAATTATGGATGTATACGGAATGGCCTACTTTGACGTTTAAAAACCAATTCGGAATATGTGATTTGCTGTAGTGGTCGTTGAAAAAAATGAATCTAACACTAAACGAATAAAATCACAGATGCTCAATCAATTAATACTAGTTAACAAGTAAAGAGTAATCATATTAAAAATACCTGAGGACAACATACCCACTACTTAAATAATCAGCCGCTGCCTATGCCATTCTTTTAAAATCCCTTTAAATTGAAGGGTAGCTCTATCTCTCTTAATTTTAGTTTTTCGCTCTGACTGTCCTCGCTCATCATTTCTACTCTTTGGTAATAGGCTGTTAAAATAAGAAACTTTTTACTGGGACACCCTGTTAATGAGTAGCAATACGAGTACAATATTTAAGAAAAAGTTTATCATTTTATGACATTGTAATGTACTATATAATAACAAAATAATATAGCATGCTGATTTATAAACTATAAACTAGTATTAATTCACAATACTACCTGACACACCCTGTATTTTATTTTTTCCAGGATAGACACGGGTTACGTGAGTGCGGAGAGTTCGATAGAGAGCGAAGAGGAGAAAGAAGCGACGCATCACATTCTGGAACCGCAGGGAGCGCATACAGGATGTTCGATAAATGGACCGAGGAAGTGCCTGGCGTGGGCTTGCAAGGCCTGCAAAAAGAAAACGGTCGCAATTGACCGAAGGAAAGCGGCCACTTTGAGAGAAAGGCGACGGCTCAGGAAGGTGAGCGAGATTTAGGGATTCGAAATTTGAACATAAGCGTCTCTGTGGTTTAATTAAAACAGGGTTTAAATAATATTTTTAATAACAGTGCCGTTCTAGTGAATAAATAGAAAACCTCACTTTTAAATGTACTTCATTTGAACATTAACTGCGATAAAAACTAATTTAATATTTGTATTTTATTGAATATACAGGGTGCGCCACGTTCAACGGCGCGGAGCCTGGTGGCTAAACTACAAATTAAAATTAGTTCCATATATACAGGGTTTCCCAAACCAGAATATTTTCTTTTAATTTTAGGTTTAACTCTTAAAAATAATCTTAGTTCAATAAAGATATACCTATCTTTGATAATTTCTGATTTATTTGACATTTTTTGAAAATTAATTAATTAATTATTCTTATTTACAAAATAATTAAAAAACTAATTTTTAGCAGGTCCTTACAAAATTTTAAGTTTTATTTCAGTAAAATAATAATAATAATAAATCGTCTTTATTAAGGGAGCAAAAATTCCAATAATTAATTTTTGTTTTTTTTTATTTATTTTTTCTATATAAAGCTAAAAAATAGTATTCAAAAATGTAATCAAAAGTAAAAAACTAAAAATAGTATGAGAGACCACTGCAAATTTCGACCGTCATCTGATAACGAAATGAAATATGCTCCAAAAGCATGTAACAACATTGTAGTTTACCAAATTGCACCTGTGCCAATCCCTAACCTGAGCAAAGTGGTTAAAAAAAATTATTTCATATTCAAAAAATCACATAAAACATGACAGCGACAATTATATTTTCCCTGAAAATTACAATCCTAATTCGTTGTGAACCTAGCTTTTAAACCTGAATTATTAATATTTTTACCTACCTTTTAAACCATGTTTATGTATGAAAGGAAGAAGGATGGCATTGTATAAACCATTTGCAGAGATAGTCAATAATAATTATAAAATCTTGTTAGACAATTATTTTAAACCATAATCATAGTAGTTTTTTTGTAGTTTCTATGGCAACCTGTGAAAATGAATCACAACAATAGGCATACAAATAAATGTTTAAATCAGCGAACATTGATTCATATTTTTAATGATATTTACCTACTAATCGTGGATAGATGTTTTTGTGCGATGTTAAGAGGAAGAAAATGTTTCCCTTTAACGATATATATCAACATATATTTAAATAATATTTTCTGGAAAACTTTAAGGGCAAACAAAATTAGCGCTGTCATGCCTTGTGTGATTTTTTTAATATAAAATAATTTTTTTAAGCCACTTTGCTCAGGATTGGGATTGGCACAGGTGCCATTTAGTAAAGTACAATATTTTTCCATGCTTTTGGGGTATATTTCATTTCGTTATCAGATGACGGTAAAAATTTGCAGTGGGCTCTTGGGCTAAAAGGTCAATTAAACCTAAGCTCAAACAAAATTTTGAACGTAATATTTTTTAAAGTATTTTTTGAATAAATTTATGTTTAATTTTTTTAATTCTAAAGGAAGAGAGTTGTACAATTTAATAGAATTATATACAAAACTTCTTTTAAATAAGGCTGTTCGATGACGGGGTATTGTGTAAGTTGTGACGTCGCGGAGGTTTCGATCATGAATTGTTTTACGAGTTATAAACTTTTTAATTAGTGGGGAAGAGCTGTCAATGCATTTTATTAATTTATGAAAATAGTTACCTAAATGGAGTGTCCTGCGTTCCTTCATATTAAGCCAATTTAATTCTCGTATTTTAAGAGTAACATGATCATATTTACGAAGATTAAATATTAATTTTGTGCACGAATTTTGAATTTTTTGAATTCTATACTGAGTGTTCAAGTCTAGGCAGGGTCCATAGATAAAATCGCAGTAGCTTAGTTTGGACAAGACGAGAGTTTCACTGAGTTTTATACGTAGCTTATGATTAAGAATATGCCTGCTGGAGTAAAGTAATTTTAAAGAAAGATAAACTGAACGGGTAATTTTACCTACATGTTCTCTAAATCTTAAATCTGTATCTAAATATATACCAAGATTTCTAGCTGATTCAACAATTGGCAACTTGGTGTAATTAATATTAATATTAAATTGATTTTTAACAAGTTCCTTTTTATTTTTTGGACCAAAAAACAGAACACAAGATTTCGATGCATTTAGTTTTAAATTATGTTGAAAAGAAAGTTCATAAATAAGTTTAAGATCTTCATTAATAAGTTGATTAGCAGTTAATGAATGATCGTTTTTAAAACTGTAATATAATTGTGTATCGTCAGCGTAGGCTTGGACTTTACAATTTTTTATGGATTTGATAATGCAAGAAGTGTAGATTAAGAAAAGGAGCGGTCCCAGGACACTGCCTTGGGGAACACCAGATAAAATATTCATAGAATTCGAAAATGTATTATTGTAACATACACGTTGAGACCTGTTGCCTAAATATGATTTTATCAACGCAACTGCTGCATAATGAAAACCATAATATTTCAATTTTGATACCATCAACCTGTGATCGATGGTGTCAAACGCTTCAGAAAAATCTAAAAGTGTAAGTACAGTAATGTCTCCTTTATCGTAAGCATCAATTATATCACTCGTTACAGTAGTTAGTGCTGTGGATGTGGAATAGCCTTTCCTAAAACCGCATTGGGTATTAGGAAGTATATCTGCCTTACAAGCATACTCGTATATTTGTTTGTATAATACTTTTTCAAATACCTTGGATATAGTTGGTAAGATACTTATGATTCTAAGATCAGAAAAAGTTTGTGGATTAGATTTTTTAGGTAGTGGCCTGCCAATGGCAGTCCGCCACAAATATGGAAAATAACTTTTTTCTATGCAACAGTTAATAATGTGGGTAATGTATTTGATAATAAATGGCGTACAAAGTTTAAGCATTGAAGCCGATATATTATCAACGCCATAAGCATTAGACCGCAATTCCTTAATAATATTACTTACCTCTTCTAATGTGGCAAGTTTTAATGTAAAAAAATTATTTAAATCATTAATATTGTTGTTATAGAAGTCAATTTGGTTTATACAATCCCCAGATACACACTGTAAGAATTTACAAAAGTAATTATTAATTTTTTCGGGATCAGCTAAATTATTAGGTAAATCACATGATTTTGCAATTTTTACATTAAAATCGGTTAAAGTAGACCAGAGCTTTTTTGGATTTTTGTGATCTTTAGCTAACATGTCTAAATACGCCTTTTTCTCCCTACGAATACAACTTAAAGCAAAATTACGAAGCTGTTTATCATCTTCCCAGTGTGCTGCTGAGCGGGATTGTTTAAATTTTTGAAGAGCTTTATCCCTTTGTTTCATAATACATTTCAAATTTGTGTTCAGCCAAGGAGCTTTAGGCTTACTTACTTTAACAGTTCTTTTAGGGGCATGAACATCGAACACCGATAAGATAAATTGATTAAACAAGTCAATCTTTCTGTCAATATCATCTTCCCTTAAAAACTTGTGCCATGGCATTTTTTCTAAATCTTCAATAAATTCATTTGGATTAAAGTTTCTAAAAGATCTTATGTCAAGTAATTTAGGCTTGATTTTTGGTTTTACAACGTTTAATTCACAATAAGTTAAAGAATGGTCAGATATATGGTTAGTTGGTAACGTTCCACAAGAAGATACTAATTCTGTACAAGAAACGAAAATAGGATCAATAAGTTTACGTGTATGTAGTGTTATTCTAGTTGGCTCAGTAATAATTTGTTTTAGATTGTATGACTCTAAACAAGAGTTTACAGGATTATTTAGGTCAAAAAAATTTGAGTTAAAATCGCCCACACAGATAATTTCATTAAATAAGGGACACAAGAAAGAAAAAATATTGTCACAATCTCTTACAAAAGCATTAACATTTCTGTCGCGCGGTCTATATAAGGCACCTATTGCAAAATTTAAAGATTTTATATTAAGTTTTAAAAACAAAAACTCCAGTTCACTACTTAATTCAAAATTTAATTTTATTATGTGGCATTGAATATTTGTCTTAACATATGCACCGACACCCCCTCCCCTTCCTAATCGATCTAACCGAAAGAAATTATAACCTGGAATATGAATTACATCAGAACTTACATCGTTTGTCAGCCATGTTTCAGTAAGAAACATAATATCAAAATCACTTTGTTCAAATAAATGTTTAAAATCATTAAAGCCTGTAAAGACAGATCTAATATTTAAATGACCAATCTTCATTTTCTTCCTATTTAATGAATATAATTTTCGAATGCATAAACTATAAGTATAAAATCATAAAAATTAAATTAAAACGATAAAAATTTAACTATGCTACTATTTGTTACAAAAAAAAAAAAAACTTATCTTATCTCACTATCTAACAACTCAAAACATTTGGCTATACGAGGTTCATTTAGAGAGTATTTTTATTACTTTTACTATTAACACTAGTAGGTTTTACTGACTTGCCATTTCCTTGCACCCCTCCGTCAGATCTTAAACGAATTACCCTTTTATATTTTTCCGCTTCAATTTTCTTCTTTTCTTTATCTTTTTCTGTTTCCGTAGTATTAGAGGGTTCTATTTCCGTAGTATAAGTGGGTTGTATTGATTTTATTTCAGAGATTAAAACTGACTCTTCTACAAATTCAAATTCTTTAGGAGACGGAGTTGTTGGTTCTTTTCTTGCTGGAGGAGGAGAAAAGTTAGAATCTTGATCCAGTTGTTTTAATTCACTTGCAGTGTATGGCACATCTTCTATGAACAACTTCAGCCCTTTGATGTAAGATTTATTTTTATTAGTTCGCGCTATTTTTAATTTTTCTCCTAATAACTTTTTTCTGCTCGGTCTTCTTCAATTAAATCTTCTACAATTATAATAGATGTTCCCTTAAGAATTGCGCAATTTCTTAAAATTTCTTTCTTTTTCAAAAAAGTTGTTAGAGATAGTAACACAGGGCGATGATTTTGTTTTCCAATTCTAAAAATATTATTTATTTCCCCTACGTGAAAATCAACTGTTAATT